CCTGTTTTAGTTTGTAAGTTGCTGTGGTTTACTGTATTGTTAACTTCAGACCGCTTCTTGCTTGTTTCTCTTATATATGTTGTTGACACTGCTCTTAAATGGATTTCAGCTAAAGCTCTAGAACTATTTTTGCAAGATCTTTGTGACCGTACTTATGAAATAACTCTTCAAAGAGGAGCAAAGACCATGAATTCGTTGCATTTGTAAGTCTGTTTCTTTTGCTTCAATCTTCCATTTTAGTGATTGGGAACTAACTCTTTAGTTACAATAATGCCTTTATAGAAGATTTCTTTTATATTTTTAGATTTAATTTCAATTTCCAATTCCCTTTTTCATATATCCAAGTTAAAAATGGAAGCTAAATGTGAGACAGGAAAGTAGTCAGTTTTTAAGCTATAAAAATTCTTAATCATTTAATCTAAGTATGAATGTTAAAATTTTATTAGAAGCATTTATGTCTAAACTTAAAAGTTAATGTGCTTGTTGGGGTATGCATCCATGATGTGTAAAATAGATTGTTAAAGTTTATTGGTATATCTTATTTGTACTGTCACTTCAGCATATTTTTTGTATTGGCGTGTTTATGAACTTGTAACATGTTTTGTATATCTTAACTTGAATCTGAAGGAAATTATGATAGGACTGGAAAGAAAAATAAAGGGCACCAGGTTTCAACACTGAAAACTGCTTACTACATTGTCATAAGCTTGCCGATGCTCAAAATGTTTTAAGTATGGATTAACGCTTAAAAAAGTTTTCTAAAAGCAAAAAGGGGAAGGGTTGAGTTCCACCATGAGCACCACAGCTTGGCAGTGGCTAAGGGATGACAACAATTTTCTATCTTCCAAAAGTCTCATTCACTTGGACTCCAAGTTGTTAAAAACTAAGATCAAATTAAATCTATTTTTGTTTTCTGAAACTACATTGGTAGCTGTGGCTTTTCCCTGTACTGACAATTGCATAAAATAACTGTTAATTCCACGTATGATTCACCTTTTTCTCACCATTTTATTAGCCACGGTCTCATATTTTATTCTTTGTTTGTCTTGCCATTTGTTTCACTCCAAAGTCTATCATAAATAAATTTTTTTACGAGTTAAACAATTTATCTGGTTGCCTTGTAAATAGGATACTTGTGATTTCAAATATTAGTGGCTCTTGGCAATGTTCAAATTCTGAATTGTGTGCTATATTTTGGAGGGTATTCCCCTTGTCGATTCTAAAATTTAAGGAATTGATGGCACCGAGGAACTGCGTTAACAATCCCTAGCATTTCTTGTGTTCTCAGACATCTTTTAATTAATTTTACTATGATATCCAGATTCCGTTTGGTTATGATATTATATTGTTTCTCTTATCTGCCTTCCAAACTCCATTTATAATAAGGACTATGAACTATGAAATCAAGTCTAACAAATTGTGACTGTAAATTGCAGGAAACATTGTGTACAAAGCTATAATGTCTTTGACTTTCTGAGGGACGTTGTTAGCAGAGTTCCTGATTACGGTCATGGTCATGGCCATGCTGAGGCTGGTGCTGATGATCGGGCCATTTCAAAAAGAAGGTTTGAATCCAATATCTTTGTTTTGTTTTGTTGTTTTACCCTTCTGATATGCATATTGTTAGTTATGTACAACAATGCTGTCTACTTTTCCAGGAAAGCTGTTGGTGATGATTGTAATGACAGTGATGAAGAGGTTAAGAGAAGCAAGATGGTAATTTAATTTTTTTATGTATTTGCACAAAAACCCTTAATAACATACTACTCAATCATCATTAATGCTTGTGGCAACCCTCTTGTTCCCTTTTGTTTACATAATTTTTTGTTTTAATTTCTCATTTAGTGCCAATCACGCATTCATGATTAAGCCTTTTCCACAAAATGCCTCATATCTTATCAGTAACATAGAATCCAAATTGTGTTTAACCTTATAGAAAAATGAAGTCCCCTAAACGATTGTATAAAAATATACTCCACAAGGTTTTGATATTATCATTTTCAGTTTTAGTTCCACAAAAAACCAGTACTTACACATCTGCATGTCTACGACTTTCTTTAAAATGTTACCATATCTGGCACCCTATAAAAGGGCTATTTGGTTTGAGAAGTTTTCTATTTTCATTTGTAATTACAAAAAGGTCACCTTGTTTACATTTTATTTGCTATTTTTAAAACGTTGAACTGGAAATAGTGGTAATTGCTATTTATTGTTTTATGTTTTCTTTAATTCTAAGTTGAAATACTAAATGACAAAAAAAAATATTTTCTCAAACCAATGCTTTTACTAGCATAGTTTGTCATCTGTAGAACACAAAAAAATCATGAGAGTCTTGCAAATGATGTTGGTATATATACCTAGCAGACCCTTGATGTACATCATGTTTTGCTCAATAATGTTTTTCTTCTATTCCAGCAAGAGTTGAGCCACACTGGCAGTACTGGTAGGGGAAGAGGCCGGGGTAGAGGTAGAGGCCGTGGCCGAGGGCGACCACCTTTAGTAAGAGACACATATCATCAGGATGCTGAATCTGAGCCATGCCCCTCTGTTCAGCCGAGCAACCAACAAAGTGCTAACCCATGTGTTGCAGTGGACAGTGGTTCTGAGTCAAAAGATATACCAAAGGAGGAGAATGTTGCAGCTCCTGTTGTAAGCACTGATTCACTCCGAAACATTGACCTGAATGCCATTACGAATGAAAATGATGACAAAAAAGCTAGCGTGGCAGAACCTCCTTCAACAGAGGGCAAGCATGAAGAGATTCTGGGGTGGCCCCTTTCTGATGTGGACAAGATGGCCATTGATTCGACACAGCTTGCGCAGCTGAGTAGGCCATTAGAAGAGGAGGAGGAAGATTATGACGAGGAGGAGGGGTAAATATTATAGTCTTTGGGTGATTAGATTAGTGAAAAAGCTCATGATAACTGTAGAATAAGTACATACTAGTGTTATGATTATGAGTACCCACTAGCTGTCAAAACATGTCCCATGTTGTTGGCGGCAGGCTGAAAAAAGGGTCTGAATGTGCCTTTAGATCCCCTTTTTATTAATCTGGTTTGTATGTGTAGCTGATGATGTATCGTTCAATTGACCAGTAATGTTAGCTTTGTACTCTTAGGTCTACAATGTATGTATATCACAATTCTAGATGGAGTGAAATTTATGCATGCAACCTTATTTAATATTGCTGCAGAAACTTTGACTATTTGCCAGTCTCTCAGCTAATGTCTATCCCTTTTTGGCAAAGATGGATTGGCATATCTATACAAGCAGGGTTGGCTAAAGTAGTTTTGTATCATTTGCATTGCTTCAGAATTAGATAAATAGTTATTCTGGTGAAGTTTTACAAAAATCAAAACACTGAAGTCTCTGTTATAAAAACTTAGTTGAGTTTGTTTATTTGAGTTTTTGATATTTTTGGAAAAAGTAGTCTGACACCCTTTATTCCATCATTTGTAAATATTTTTGGAAGTGATATTACAAGTGTTACATCAAGTGTGGTCTTAGTCTTTTTCCACATATAAATGGAAAGTGTTTGTTTTCTTATGCAAAAGCTGAAAGAAGTTCCATCAATTCCTGTTTGTGGCTCCTTTGCCACGACTAGGATTTCCTCGTTCTATGCAACCAACGTTAAAATTTAAGATTAATTCGAAAAGCTCTATCGAAATCGAAAAGACCATTCTGCAATGAATTACTATATTTTCTAGACTAATTCTGAATCAACCTTTCTGAAATACTATATAAACAAATAAAGGGCCAAATATACGATTCGTGGTAATGACATTTCAAAAATGCACGTTTTAAAATTATGTAAATATAAACATCATTTATATCATTCTAGGTGTTCTGGAAGAAAAAGATATATATTACATAATCTGGAATGATATTTATAGAGTTGTTTTGGATTATGTTTTATAATAATGTCAAATGTGTTCTAAATTATGCATTCCATAATAGGATTTAATGTTTATCAGAATGACCGTTGAAATCATGTAAAATAAACACAATAAACTACTGCTTTACTCTCTCTTCTTTCTCTCATAGTGCTGTGGATGTGTAGTTGATGGTGGCAGCAGCGGCAATGGCCACAAGAACAACAATGTTGACGTGGTATACAGCAAGGAAGAATATTTTAATCCTGTTGCTTTTTGTATGGAGTCCAGTTAATAATTAGTGCAGGTGCAAGAAGAAAAAACCTAAATTAAATTTTAAAGTTAATTGGAACTTTCTCGTCTGTTCGGTGCGTGTAATTTTGATCTACAGTTTGAATGCTCAATTTTACTTTAGATTATTGTTCGGGAAACTATTTTAATCCTGTAATTAATTTATCATCTAATTCATATTAATGACATAATAAATCTATATAAAACATTAACTATTTAACCTTTTACAAGTTAAATAATTTAATACAAAAATAATTAAGTTTAAGTTATGAAAATCAAATTTCCCTATTTTTAAACATACGAAGCATAATCAAAGTTGTACACGACCTATATGTTAAAGTTTGACGAAAACGGTTTGAAAAAATTTACTCGTACAGAAGGAATAACACTACAATTAGAATTTGACGAAAACCATTTTTAAGGTAAAAAATTATTCTCATTCTTTAGCTATACGTACAACTGATGGACGTCAAGATCTTAATGTTATTAAAGAAATATTTACGTCAAAAAGTAACTAGTGGAAAGTGTCACTTTTTTAATTAATAGAAAAATGGAAAAAGAATTACCATGACCGTTATCACAATAAAAAATCAGTTACACAAAAAAGAGTATCGAAATACTTTTACAGAAAACAATTAAAAGAATACAATCATCAGAAAGAACTACAACACATCCAACAAAACTAAAAGTAAATCATGAGAAAATTGTGTAAGCCAAACAATTATAAATAATAATATTTTTTGTATTAGAATATATTATATTTATATATATATTACAGTAGTATAGATATAACACCATGGTTGTTGAGAGAGATAACAAATAAAGCCAATACAAACATCAGAGAGAAAGGAGTAAGCACAACATATAGTTGTTGAGAGAGATAAGAACAATACCCAAAAAGTGTATGATTTATGCGTAACATAGATAGTAAGAGTCATACACCCCATACTGATTAAAAGAAAAAGGATAGTTTAGGAGCGACCCTTCAGATCAGAATTAGGAATGATCTTGTTCCATCTGATTTAGATGGAGTGCCCCTTCGTTGTTCTGGTGTACTTCTACCTTGAACTTCTCTTCCTTGTCTCCCCGTTTGACTTTGAGAAGCAGATTAAACTTGGCAAAATCATCAATCACCTGCATAGAAATTTACACACATCCATCAGCCTTGATAAACCAGTAACTATGCCTGGATTACACTGCAACAGTCGCGACAGAAGCTCCAAATGTAGTGTAATCAATAATTGCATATCATTGGGAGCAATAAAGTAATGGTAAGAACATGTTGCAAGTGACCGCTCACAGATATAGTTAATTCATACATATTATATTAATGAGAACTTCAGAAGGGAATAACAGATATGTATGATGAATATTGAATAAAGAAATGCTAACAAACAGCAACAATCTTTTCAATACTATATGCTAGGCAAAATATTATGTTAACTCCACTAATAGAGTAGAGCTCAAGTAATCTAGTGTAGCAAGAAGCAGATTTCACGCCTAATTAGATGAAATCACACATCATCTCCACCACTAATGAGACTCGGATCATTTAGTGCAAGCCAGTATCAGATTTCCCCTAATAATTTTAATGTTGAAAGGAGCGTCTAAAAATTATGTTACATGCATCCCTCTATATTTCAACATAATGGTCTCTCTCTCTCTCTAGAACTCAAAATTTCAACACAATGGAATTTTATAACTCCTTTCTTCCTTGGGGCAGACACAAGGATATCAAGTGCAGAAGTTGGCTTCGTACCTTCAACTTCAATCTTTAACATTTTAGACAACTATGTTAAACTGTCATTTCATTTTACCATTGCTATCTATAACTCTATTCGATCAGCAGCAGTAGATTACACAATACATTAAAGAACTCCAATTTGTCACTTTCTTTACTGATTTGATGCGTGTGAAAATGTGTACACACTTGTACAGTTCTTTATTATAAAAGAATACAAATGAAGACCAACCAGATGAAAAATAATCCAATAGTTAGAGGGAGACCAGAGAAAACTATAGGTCAAACCGTTTAAGAGGTATAGATAGTAAACTGTCTACCTTTGCATTTAATACAAGACACCCTAATGGGAAAGACAGTTGATTGCTGTTTTAGAGTTGAATGAATTGATAAAATATTGTTACTTAATACATTCAGCACACAATCATTTCAAAATATTAACCAGGTATATACCACTGAAGTAGCACAACTTACTACTAATAAACACTATGCTGGTCCCATAACTTAAAAGTAAGACAAAAACAACTTCCAATGTACATAATATGCGGTTAATAGCATATTGCTAGACCTGTTTTAAACAACAGCGAGACATGTATTTTAGACAAATATTTACCAAAAAGTTTTATCGTAAGCAAAAACAAGACAAGTTCAGGTAACATAATTAGATCAAAGAAACCAGAAAAAAAAAAAGAATCAGAAATCCTCCCATAACTTAGTCAAGACAATCAACAAAATACAATCAACAAATCTATCCAATTCAACCATGTGATTCTAGAACCAGTTGAGCAAGCAAAATCAAGAAAATTTTAAAGAATAAAGAACTAGGCACTGACCTCAGCCTTTGCATCAGCAACCTCATGAAGCACATAGGGTACTAATGAATTAGACCTTTGCTGGATTGTCTTGATTGCATGATTTGCTGCATCTTGAACTTGAGGGTCATGTGTTGGCACAGATTGCCATCCCGATTTGTGGCCATCTGATAACAAAGACAGAACCACAGTAGATTTTATTTATTAATAACCACTACAGGTTCAAACTGACTACAAAAGATACACGAGAAAGGAAGCAGCAAAACATTTGCACGGTAAATGGTACAAACTTCATACATGTTAGGCCTTGGAGGGTTTATGAGAGGAGAAGGGTGAGGAATAATACCTAACTGTTATCTAACAGAATAACAGTTAAGAGGGCGGGAACAGGGTCTATATAAGGACCCTGTATTTGTT